AGGACAAGTCACTGGACTGTTAGAATGACCGGAACTGATTCACGTGCCTGAGACTATGTACGGTGTTGTTTACGGACATTGAACAAAAACATAGTTATAATGATATTTTTCTCAGAAAATACAATTTAACGTACTCCACTTGAAATTTTGTAGTCTCAGTAGGTGGCTTTATAAAGCAACACGAAAAGGCTGTAAAAAAAGAGGAACTTGACAGTAAAAGAAAAGGATGGAATTTATTTTGAAATACAATCATACACTTGAGGGACAAGGAGTACGTTTTGGACGTTTTTTATGGGCCTGAAAAACTTTCCTCCAACATTTGATCGAAATAAGGCACATTACTGGGTACAGTCATCGGGACGCTTAACATTGTTTGTTTATGAAGCTGCTATTACCATATTGAAATACATTTACAATTATATAATTATAATTTAGTGGGTGTACGCATTTTGTGAAACAGGAACTAACTGGTCATCACTGAAAGTCCAGACGTCGTCAAATTCCAGGAACAATTTAAAAAGACAAGTAAATACATGACACCCTTGGGGGCAAACACATAGCATACTTCCATTAAAGCGTTCCACTTCAAATCAGTCAAAAAACACAACACAAGCGTGATATTTGTGAGATATGTCCGTGGTACATACATACATACATAGCAGCGGTGAGGGACGAAAGCTGTACAGCCAGTGATAATGATGACGTCAGTGACACAACAACACACACACACACACAACAGTGAGCAAAAGGTTACAGAGTTACACATCGTGGACAGTGCCTCTGACACAAGTATTATTACAAAAATGTTAGACGTTAATACCCCACTTGCTGAGGCTCGCAAACGAAAATAAGCTTTCAGTAAGTGTTGGATTAATTTTTTAAAAACACAAAAAAACCTGTTAGTTTTCTTTCTCACTTGAATGAAAGACAATATACAAGTTAAATTTAGGATCTTTCCAGTAAGACGATAAATCCGGACAGTTTTGAGGCTCGAAAGGATAGCAGGCGTTATTTTGTATTGAACTTTCAGAGAAAGGAATTGACAAAATAAGCATACCATAGGTTTTTGCTGGAAGCCAAAATTTAATCTTCAATCCGTAGTTCTTGAGGGTTCAGAAACATTCCTACAACAATGAATGAACGAATGAATGAATGAATGAATGAATGAATGCATGCGCTCATGATCTGCAGGATGTCTCTTAAAATCTGCCCTCGATGGAGCTAAGATCGATGGTGTCCCACACAGAGCTGAGAGGGTTGTCGGCGTACACTCTATAGAAATACTCAAATCTGCTGAGGCTCTGAGTCATGTACACGTGGATGCAGGGCTCCAGGGAGGCTTCCTTAAACCAGGGCAGCCCGGCGTACTCTGCCGGTGTGAGGGGGGTGGGGGGTGGGGGGATAGCAAACAGGGCACATCATTCAGTGATGCCAGGGACTTGATTCACTAAGTTCCACTCGGAGTTTCCCAAAGTTAAAATTGATTTTATAAATAGTTTGTATAATATTAAAGGATTTATATACAAATCAATAGTAGGTGTTATAACGCCACCCCCCCTCCCCCCAATCAAAACAGTTTAGATCATTTAGGAGGTGGGCTGCATCGACCCTGCCTGTCAGGGCCAACCCCTGGCTGAGAGGGATACACAGTCTCCATAGACAAACGCTGACACTCGATTTGGAAAATTTTAATTGTCTCCACACGGGAGTCAAACTCACGACTTCTGCGTGTGATGGCGAGGCGCCTGGACCTACACCACAGACGCTCATGATATGTGAATAAAATGCACCAATGAAATAAAAAACCCAACCATAAATGAAAAAAAACCAAGAAAAAACCCAAACAATCAGAACCAAGGCCAAACAAAAGCCACAAGAACAGAGTCATGTGCACACACGTCACCCCAACACAGAGCTGTGACATTGGTCTTGGGTGTGGTGGTAAATACCAGTGAAGTTACAACATCTCATGCACATTTGAACAAACAGTTTTAGCAGTATTTACCCTAAAATGACCTATTTGAAACTTTGTAAGTAACGAAAAAATGTAAGTAGAACTTAGAATTAATTTCATTATCTTTGTTTAAACAAATTAATACATAAACATAAAAAACACAATTCCAAGAAAAAAACCCAAACAAAAACAATATATTATGCAAAACGTTAGTGCAGACGATTATGATAAATAAATTAGAATGTATGAAAACCAAACAGTTATCAATTCATCAATGTGAAGTCATCTCGTGGCAAAGACAGCTACTCACGACATGATGAGATGTGCTACTCACTGCTCACTCTGGGCTCCATGCACAACCAAATAGAAACTCACACCGTGCGTGACCCCAAAGCATGCATGCACCAAGGGCAGACGTTTTGAGCAGCAACATTTGCTACATCACCATATACATTTTTAAATTCAACATTTATTCAGTGATTAACGGTTTTGAACTTATTTAACTTTCTGAGCTACCTTGAATACGCCAAAAGAGAAAAAGTCCAGAAAAAGTTCCGTCTCCTAACCAGAACGCATGAAACAAAGCTAGAACTACAACAGGTTAACTCTACATCCTTAGTTCTCTGGGAAATATGTATGAAAAGTTTATCATCCGCTGTACTGGGTGTAGACCAGCTGCTTTTATTTTGATGCACAATGTCAAAATTGCTCGTGGAGAAGATTGCAACTGGCTACTGTTATTTTAAAAAAACCCTAACTTTTAGTGATATTTATTGATATCGCTTTTAGATCTTATATTTACTCATAATTTTTCAATCTAAACAGTACACAATCAAAATCACGTGTCTATGCCGTTCATTATGAAAGCATTTAGTCTTGCCATAAACTAGGCTATGCTGGGTAGGAGTGCTAGCTCGGGCGTTTAAAGAACAGTTTCAGAAAATAGAATGATCCAGGAGGTCATGAGGAATTTATTTAGATTCGGAATTAATTTTCAGACTCGCATAATGTATCAGATTCTTCTTCTTCTTCCTCGTTCTCGATATAATGTATCAGCTGAGTTTTGACCTAAGTGTACCAAAGTCGCCAGTTCCTGGACAGAACTTGCTACATTTGTCTACCAAGCCCATCTGTCAGTAATTAATGTACAGTACATCAGACATTTTTTGTGGGTGATTGGCGGGTGCTCTGGTGTGGTTTGCTTCTTCTTTCCTATCAAATATTCTATCGTCTTTATCCCCCTCCTTCTGTTTTAAGTTTGTTACTCTTTTGTAGCACCTCTAATCCTCGGCACTTATATGACCTTATTGTGTTGCAAGTGCCCTAAAACACTTACTAAAACTAAGATATCGTCTTTCACCCCTCGTTCACGAGAACACAGTCACAACAAAATGTCCGTCAGGTCAAGGTCATCACTTACTAGTCCTCGTCCAACAGCTCCCAGGATCTGACCACAACCGCGAGCACACCAAGCACACGGACTACCCAGACTTGGACAGAACAAAATCTCACATTCCACAGAGCCATGGAGAATGTGCAGCTAGAAAATTCTCAAGGACAAAGGGAAACATGGAGGTATAGAGGATAGATCAGGTAAGGAATAAATGGGACACTGATGTCTATATACATACTTCTTTGGCAAACAATCTGTTCCAGGGACAAGAAAAGTCTTGAAGTTTTCATACTATTGATTACGTAATTTCACAAAGGGAGTGCATACTTCTAAATTCTTTGAACTGCTAAGTATTTAGCATCGAATACCTTTGTCTCATTTTAGAAATAAATTGGAAATATATTTCGTCGTCCCTGTTTAAACAGATTTATTGCCAAGGTGTATTTCACCGAAAAGGAAAAGGAGATCTAAAAGGAAATAAAAAGTGGATGTTTCTCTAAACTTGTCTAATGTGGAAAGGCAGGTATGTTTTTGTCTGAGGAAAGGACGGAGAGATCAGGATCGAATGAAGGATGTTGTATGTGAATCTCACTCGGTACAGGTCTCCAGTTGATTCTTTTTCTTGCTTTACAAATTACATCAACGTTACTTTCTTTTCGTGGAATCTTAATTGATAACTCTTCTCCGAGATCATGATTTCAAAAGTGAGAGTTGTCGACCATTCAGAACGTACCGAGTGACTCTCACAACGAAGAGAGTTCTACAGATCTAAGGGGACACAACTGCAGTCTGAGTGGACTCTTTGCTTATGATGACAGAGATGACAGTGATGAAAGTGATGATAACTGTGCATGAATGGGGGTCTTAAGATCGGAACGCCATTGCCACATCGAAAACCTTAAGTGAACCAAACTCTTTTTCCTAAGCCAAGTAGCAAATGTCCAAATTTCCCCTTTCATGTCAGTTAAATGAGACAATGAATTACAAAAAGACGTAGGGCCTACTGCTTTCTCCCAGGAGTCTGAAATGCTGCGAATATCTTTCGTTCTATATGCTCGATTTGTCATTTGACTACACGGAACCCACCCACCCCTCCCTCTATCCCCCC